ACCTTACATTTAAAGTGTAACTAGTCAAGTGAGACATACAATGAAATAAATAATTAATCGGTTTATTTAGGATTATGTATTCTAAGAACTTGAGATTAATCTGACCAATCATGATGAATCAGTTATTGAAATAACCGTCAAATAATTTAGAAATCGATCAAACGTTAAATGTAGTCTATAGACCTATTTGCTGAAACATATTCAGAGCAGTAATTAAGCCAAACTGATCAAATATATTGATTTAACATCAATAAAATGTCTTTTTCTGTAAATATGTTCCACCTAGACCCCCTCAATATTTCACCTGGTTCACATTCTATGAAGAAAAATCCTATAATAAGCTCCTTCTGTTATCCAGTTATTGATCAGTTAATCTAAAAAAAAAAAATCAACAGATAATCCGTACGCTGCATTGATAAGAAAAGCAGGAAGGGCTGAACATTTATTTATTTTTTTGCTACAAATGATCAAGCATACACTAGAGGCATGTTGTGTTATTGCATTTTAGGACATAAATGTTTCTGTCTTATTCGTAAAATGATTTGAATAATTTGTTTGCTTGCATATTTGATAGATTTCTAATATTGTAAAAAATAAGCAAAAATTTGCAGAATTTGCCAATTATTTTATCAGATTAACCGTCAGAATAAGTATATAGAGTAATCGATTACTAAAATAATCATTGGCTGTAGCCCTAATAAGAACATTTGTAAGTTTTTAATCTTGTGCTGAAGAAGCATAGAGGCTGTTCTGCAGAAACCCCTTTTCCCATGTAGAATGCTGTTTTACTTCACTTTAAAGTGACTGGGTTTTGTTTATGCATGGTTTTATCTGGAGAATCCGACCCCATGACTCACCAAATGTTCCTAAATAACTGAAGGCGGCGTCAGGAACCAAAAAAGCCGGATATGGACATGGATAATTAGGATGTTTGTTCTCTTGCAGTTCCAACCCTGACGCTGAAACCAAACCTTACATTTCATGCATTTTACTATCGCTGTGTTTATCCTGCAGAACTCAACTAATACACATTATATTTTAAACAAAAATACTAAACACACACAGTTGCTCTGTTTAAATATGACTGATTAGTTCTGCTTGAAAAGACAAACGTGGCTGTGGTCGTAATTCCTTACAAAAGAAATGCATGCAGCCAGCAGCAGGATTCGAACCAGCAGATCTTCAAACTGTTCCAGGACCAGCTCCCAAAGTGACTTTCCTGCAGAGGGAGAATAAAGAAGTAACAGCTCAGTAAGCAGAGTTAACATAATAACACACAAAATGTGACTGTAAAAATATACAACGTATGTTAGATTACCTTCTTCTGCAGGCAATTCTGTAAGTTAAAGAAAAAAACCCATCAACATCACCATGGCAACAGGCATTAAGAACAGGATTTACAAAGAACAGTTTGCAGAGAAATTTAGTGTTGTATACACCATAATCCTGTCATTGTAACAAATTTGCTGGTTGATAAATTGTCCCATAAATGATCGTGATAAATGATAATGTTGTTGTTTTGAGACCATTTTGAGGTAACATCGTGATAATGGCATAATAATACAACAAAGATAAAGAAAGTTTAATTTTCTAAAGTACTCAACACTGGAACTGGAATATATTTTTAAATTACAAAAAAGCACTACATAAGTAGGATTAATGGATTTATTGCATCAGGCTTGGTTGTATGTTTTAAAAAGTTAACATGACTTTTTAAAATAAATACAAACAGTAGTTTTGTTCAATTATGTTACAAGGTGGTAAATTTTGTTGCATAAAAGCTATGAGAAATTTTGGTTCTGTTTCTTTGCAAATACATAAATAAATATTTACCGTTGGGTCCCCACTTCTCTCTGTTCTTCTTCAGCTGCTCACAGCTCAGTCCTGTGGATTCATTGACACTGAAGAAGCCCAAAACCTCCTCCACCGTTTTAGTGTGAGCGTTGTCCATCGCTGCTGGGAAAGCTGAAAAACAATCAGCCATCAGCCTTTATTTAACGTTTCTACAAAGACGATATTCTACATTTAAATACAGATTAGCCTAATATGATATTGATAATCTTTGTCAACATTTAAAAAGTGTGTGGAAAAACTAAGATCCAATTTGTGGTACAAACTTTAGCAGCAACACTCGTCTCATCGCCATAAATCTTTGGAGAAACTTTAATATATTCTTCTTTACAGTGTTGCTTTGGTTCGGGGAGGTTTGTCTGCAGAGATCTTTGTAATTACGATAAATTCTGGGGTTTAATTGGAGTTGGAATCACTTTTTTCAGCAATTTTGTTGAGGATTTGCTGCTGTGGCCCAGTTTGACAGTTTGCCTGCTAACAAGCAGATGGCCTCACATTTGACTGGAGAATAATTTGGCAGGCAGAGGAGATTACGATCAGTTCGAAGACTGAAAAGAGCTCAGCTTCTGTGGCAGGAAACAAAAGTCCACATTATCACTTTTAATGTGGATTTGTTGGAAAATAAATGTTCTTCACAGCTGTAGTTTTGTAAAAGACAGAAACAAACTGTCCCCCAGGATTCTCCTATATGTTGCTGAATTCATTTCCTGCCTTCATCTTTTATTCTGCAGTGGCATTAACTCACCGGCATTGAAATGCATTTTTATTCTTACTAATAAGATTGCAAAACGTATTTAGTTATATTAATTTGTTTATTTATTCCTTGTTCTGGCATGTTATTTTTGTTATTGTTGATTTGTCCTCCAACTCGTTCCACTTCTACTCAAAAGGAAAATAATAACAATAAAAATTAGAAAATAACTGCTAACATTTAAAAAAAAAATCAGTATCCTAGTTGATTAAATTTCTGTTATGACACCACTTTGCTATGTTCTGTTTTGTCTTATCCTCATTTGTGAACCTCATTTTTTGTTTGCTTGTTTATTTTTAATGTTTTGTTATTTGTTCTGTTATCTAATTGGTTATTTTTATTTAGTAGATAAATACCTCTGTTTGTTAGTCTGTAATGTTTGTTTTGCATGCACTAATTGATTAATCTAATATATATATATATACTTACAGGACCTACTGCTGGGAAATATCACCACATCATGATGCTGCCACCACCATGCTTCACAGTGGGTAGTGTGTTTCTGATTATATCAACCTCCTTATAGATTGAGTGCATATTTATGCAATCGGTTATTTTATGTTAAATATAATTTTGTCATTATTTTGTAGAAATCAGTTTTCACATTGACAATAAATATTTTTTGTGGAAAAAAAGCAACACTTTTCGTGATTAAAGTGTAAAAGCAATAATAAATGGTATTATTAATGGGCTGACAAGATTTTATAATAGTATTTATTGTTATTGAAAGCCAAAGTCAGCTGTTGAGTGGAGGCTGAGCCTCCCTAAAAGTCAAAATCCCCCGACTCAGCTCATCATCACTGGTCACAAATACCCAAAATATGGTTACAGTAGTAATAACTGTCTGATAGTTATTAATTTGATCAAATCCATCAATCCAAATCAAATTCTAGCAGCGCCTCGGCTGCACAAAAGCTAGCGATATTTTTTTGGTGAACCCTCTCGGTATTTGACACAATGATAGTTTAATATAGCAGCATAATGACCCAGTTACCGTGATGGCAGATTCCAGAGAGTTATGCTAGCTGCTAGCTTCTGAGCATCGATGCTGAATGAGAGTCAGGAGCTATGAGGCTAAAGAGCTAACATGATGTCTAACGGTTAATCCTCCGGAGATGAACAGGTTGCTTACCAGAGCAGTCTGGGTGTCGTCTCAGCTCTAACTGTTCAGCCTGAAGGAAGGCAGGAGCCGTCGATGCACCATTAGTTTCACACTAAAGTCATCCCAGAGACCAAATGAATACTATTTTAAAATCATAAAATCGCTTCTTCTTCTTTTTATTTTAAACAGGGTCGCTTCTTGGTTACAAATCAAATCCTGGTATCATCAAAACAGAAATCTTTGTGAAAAATAAACACATAAGTAAAAATAAAAACTGAATTGTTTTTAAATAATGTGGCTCAAAACAGCTTCTTAGTGTAATATGTTATTTCTCCTCATCATGTCTGTAAATCTGATGTCAGCCTACAGCGTTCAGTGAAAACAAGCCGATAAAGGATAATAAAGCATATGTTCCGGTGAAATCCTTTCAAAATAAGAGCTGTGCCCGTTATTCTAAATTTCGCATAAGAGCTTGTTGTTCTGTTTATATTTTGTGACATTCACAACACGAAATAACTTAAAAGTCATCAATGAAAAATTGCGTCTGACTCTGTTCAACTTATAATAAACACAATTAACGACATCTAAAAAATTAACCAATGACACACCGATAAATCAGACTGTTGTACCTTCTTAACCAATCAGCGCTTACTTAGGTCTACATGCAGCAAAAGCTAGAAGGAAAAACACCGCCTCCGTCCAGCTTTCAACCAATCAGCGAGCGGTGCGACTGCTGACACTTACGTGACGTTATATGAACCAATCAGCGTCACGGAAAGTCTGGCTAAAGCTTTAGCCAACAGATGGCGCCATTTTGAGCTCTTACATAAATAAATAAATAAATAGTTTACGCACAATTGTTTTTACATTCTAAGCTGTAGTATCTGCAGCACAATTATTACTCACAATCAAAACTTCCCCTAATAACATGAAATAAGTTATTTAAATGTGACTTTTATTTACTTTTTCAACTAGGTACATCAATTTCTTTAACCCAATATTCAACAGACTAAAATCCATCCATCCATCCATTTTCTTTACACCCTTGTCCCTTAGTGGGGTCCGGAGGGTTGCTGGTGCCTATCTCCAGCTACAGACAAAATATGTATTTTATTAAAAAACATAGAGTAGATAAAAAAAAACAACAAAAAAAAACATGTTGGTCCTGCTTCTCTTACCTTACAGGAATGTAAAAGAAAAATTAAACTTTGTTTTTAAATCACTTTATAAATGGAAATGTGTGCTAATGTGATGATACCAAAGGAGAATAAAAGAAAATATAACTGATGAACACAGTTCTTGGGCATATTTTTTAAACAGTGGAAACTTCCATGACAGTATCAATCTTGTAATGCAAAAAGAAAGATACATGGTAATCTTTTATTTAAAAAAAATAATAAAAACTTTTAACTGAAGCAGAATAAGAGAAACAGCAAGCATGGCCATAAAAACAACAAAATAAAAACATCCCTGACTTTCACAAAAGTCTGGATCTTTGTCCTCTTCATGATGTTTTCCTCAGAACGGATATTCTCTCCAGAGGCTGAAAGAAAGAAAGACGGAGAGTACAAAAACTTTTAATTTTCTACATGGTATTATTTTCTGAAAAAGAACAGATTTCCAGTTTCTAATGCAGTTTTTCAGAATTAATTTAGGGAAGCTTCATTTACAGTTACATCTCACTGACACTCAGAGGGGTCTGCTGCCAACTACGGGACAAACCGTGAATTGTTTTCATTTGTAGATCATTCTAGCTTTCTTTCTAAAACACTAACACTTTTAGGGATGTAACATTTACTGTTAAGTAGATTTGATAAAAAGTAAATAAAAGAAACAATTCCAGTGCCATTATGAGAATAAATGAGCTATTTGGACCCAAACTTAGACCACATCCGCTTAAAAGATCTCCTAGCTGCTGCACTTTAGCTAAATAAATATCAAATAAGAGGTGAGCTGTGACTAGTTTAAGACTTGTTTGCATGTTTCATTACAGTTATAACTTAAATGCAGTGATCAGAGGAAGCGATGGTGTGTGTGTTTGTTCATGTGTGTGTAGGCCACCTCATGGAGTACTCAGGATCATCGAGTGTTTGCAGCAGCAGCTCTTTAATTTCCTCAGGTGGGTTCAGACCATGAAGCTTCGCTCTCTCCCACCTCTGCATTCTGCTGATGCCTGAAAACAGACCAGAATCGTTTAGTTAGGCGACAAAATACAACATACTAGATGTTTAATTTAGCATAAACATATAATTTGTTTTTAATCACAGAGCCTTATTTTAAGGCTTCTACTATTTACTACCTGTGCAGGGCCCAAATCTCCAGTCCAGGTCAAACTGTTTGAGCTGCTGCATCTCCTCCTCTTTGACAGTTGTAGTGACATCTTCTGTTCAAACGAGAAGATTCAGAAAGAACTGAAGACAGGTTTGCATCAAAACAAGAGCAATAACAAATGTTTGCATAATAATTCAAGAACACATTCTCAAAGATCAATAAACATAAAATTCTAACAAACATTTAACACTAAAACTGGAAGATATTTTAAATATCCAAAATAAATACAAAAAAACCCCACAAAAAACAGAACAAACAAATGCATTAAATTATAAAGTCTCTGAAAACAAAAGACTTTTATCATCTGGTTATGTTAGGAAGGTCGAGCGAAAACAGAAAAATGATAAATCATGCAAATGTAAATTATTGAGCTTGTTTTAACTTATGTGATTAATTGATTTATTGATGTTGTAAATAACCACAAGTGTATTTTATTACATCAAATTTGAATGAGTTTTATCTTGCCAGTATATTTGACTTCTAATTAGTGCTGTATACTTTTAATTTTTAATTTTGCATTTTCTGCTTAGTGTTGTTGTATAATAGTTAGTTTGTTTTCTCCAGTGGACTGGTGACCCATCCAGGGTGACCCCACCTCTCACCCGATGGCAGCTGGAGATCGGCACCATCACCCCTCCCGACGCCAATGGGATAAGAGTGTAAGAAAATGGATGGATGGATGGATGGATGGATGGATGGATGGATGGATGGATGGATGGATGGATGGATGGATGGATGTTTTCTCCAAATAGTGCTGCACTTTGTTTTTCACGGAGCGTTGTTTCATGCTGGCAGCCCCTCCAAAAGTCAAAAGGTGTGTTGATTGTAAAAAGTATTTACTTTAGTGTATATTTTATATGTTAATATTTTTATTTGGCCTAGACTTAAAGTAACATATGAATGGAAACATTATAAAATGATTAGTTACACACATCTTAAGTTATATGCGTTTTAGCTCTTATGGCAGTGATATGTGGATTTCAATGCTACAATGAATGGAATGTGCGTTTTAAGGAATTAAATCTCATAAACCATCAGTAAAGCTTCATCTTTGTTCAGAGTTGTATGCTACAGATGTATCGCTTATTGAGCGTTTGAAAGACTCAATAGAATAACTGGAAGTTACCAAAACAAAGCTTTATTCTTTAAACAAAGCTATCATAAAACAATTGATAAGCATCGTAGAACATATTGTTGACATAAATCTATGGAAACTAATTTGTGAAAATAATACAAGTTCCCATTAGTTAATGCAAACAGCAGCTTAAACCACGAGTGCTGTCTCACCTTGCTGTGCTGGAGGAGGCGTGGGAGTCTTCTTTCGCTTTCCCCCTCTCCTTGTTTTCTTCAGCACTTTAAATGAATCGGTTATCAGTCCACGTTTTGTTGTCATGGTGACGATCTAGAAAACACACATATCAATGAAATTTACTGCAAACGGATTGGCTGTATGCCTTAGTAAACATATTTTCATCATTTCATATTGACAGTTGGTTATAAAGTTTACCAAAGAGCTCATACTGAGATGCACCAAAATGATCGAAATCAGAGAAAAATGAAGAAGATTTGATTCCTTATTAACAGCTGATTTGAGACAAATACAGAAAATATGAAATATAGAAATCAAATATTATTTCTTTTCCTTGTAATGTTTGGTTTTGATTCAAAATTTGCTTTTCACTTCAGATAATTATACTTGTTTACTAATATGTGATCTGCTCCTGTTTAAAATAATTCTGCTGATCAGATTGATCAGACTGTTGAATCACTACTTTACCGAACATGTTTTTAAGTTAAATCAGGTATTTAGATAATCTAAATTATGTTTGTAAACTAAATTAACATTTCCAAACATAGACTGATAGTTTATTAGTTATTACTCATTAGTGTAACTAGAAATAGTTTTATTATTGACTAATGTTGGCACAAAATAATAACTGAATTTGCATTTGAAGCTTTAATTCTGAGAATGTATTTTATAATATATGTTTCTCTTTCATCTAAACGTGTTTAATTTAGGCTCTTTGAAAAATAGAATTTACCTCTCACAAAATGTAAAACTGTTAAAAAATATTCTTAACTGATATGATTTGTTACACATACAGATGCTACTAATGACTTAGATTTATCTCTGAAACATTCTGTGCCAAATAGAGGAAAAACGTTTAAATAATGGAATAAAATACTGAGTTCTGCTTTGATGCCCTGATATGGATAAATACTTCAATGAGAGTAAACCAAGGTTTCATTTCCGGACATATAATCGTAATACTAATAACGTAGCTTTCTATTAATCTTTTTGAATTTAAATTGCAGTTATTAAGGTACTAGAGGGAAGATATTACGCTGCTACATTTATTTTGTTTGACTCAGACTTTAGTTGCGCATTCATTTGTTATTACAGCGTTATACTCCCTCTAACAGATATCAGTAATTTGATTTAAATAATTATTTAAAAAGCAATGAACGACGTGCATTTACGGCGAACACAAATAGATCCCGGATGTGCATCAGCACCGCTTTTAAGCTCAGCTTTAAGTTGTTTATTGTGAACTTACCTTGTTATGTTCACGATTAAAAATATTTCTTAGTGTTTTTGTTCTCGATTGTTAGTGTTTATGGCCCCACTTTTCTGCAGAGAAAACGAACCAAAACAATGACGCGTTTGAATTCTTCTTCTACGGTCGCCTCACCAGTCCACGCCTCTGCTGCCACCTGTTGGAAACCCCTGTGACTGCACAGAAGATTGTGCAGCGATGGAAGCTGTTAATATTTAATTGGGGAAGAAAAACTACAAACAAATTGAAATTTCATTAAAATACAAAGTATTAATCTTTAAATAACTACATATTTTTGCATTCTTTTACTAGGATAAAGCTATTTCCAAACATGTAGGGTGACCTAAGTCATGCTGTTATTGCTCCGAACTGATAAAATATTTGCTTTTTTTCTGAAAAATCGGACAAATTTGGAAAATATATGTTTTGGCTATAGTTTTATTTCCAACAAAAGAAAATTTGACCAATTTATTTGTTTAAGTAAACTATTAGATTATCAAGTTTGTGCAAAACCAAACAAAAACATCACAGTGTAACTTTTTGTAAAATTATTACATTTTTTGGCCTGAAATTCTTTTGATTTCACAATTTTGGCATATAAAGAGTTTGCACACCCCTGTTGTAGACAAAACCAGACGTTGGCAGAGTAGCCAGATGGTTAGCTTTAAGTAAAAGTAACACAGCTTCAACATGTTTCTACTCAAGTACAAGTAAAAATTCAAGAAAATAATGAGTAAAAAGGCAGATTAATACACTTTGCATGCTTTTTATAACTTTCCATAGTAATGGATGCCATGGACATATCTTCTTATCTGTTATTAGATTGAAACATTTACTGTTTTTGAAGTGTTTGGCATATTGTATGTTGAGCTTGATTTTTTAATTTTTAATTTTTACCATACTGTCCTGACATAGTGACAGTTTCCACAATTATGTAAAAAATATATTTTTTATAAATTTACATACTGCAGCTTTAAAGTAGAGCTGGAAAATAAAACTGAAAATCACGTCATGATAAATTTCTCTTCAGGATGATGCCGCATTTTGTACTGCACCTTTAAGCCATGATTTATGGAGCTAAATTGGGGTCATAAAATTCATTCAAAAGAAAAAAAAATTAAGCTTAAAAATTATTCTGAAACTGAAAAAAAAGTTCGACCAAAACGTTTTGAAACTAAAAAACTGTCTTTTTCAGTTTCATACAGGTTTTTAGAATTGTTTTTATACTTTTTTTGAAAATAAAAACGTAATTTCTTTTATTTAAAAAAATAAATTTTGTTTATATTTAAAAAATCTATCTTTTGATTTTTAATATATGGCCCCTAAATTGGGGCCATTTTGTTTTGAACAAACCTTATGGCCCCAACTTAGCTCCATAATTATTAAGTAGTTGTGTAGTTGAGGCACGTTGGTTTGAAGCCTCTCAGCATTATTAAAGTGGCAGAAATTGTTATCTGAGATACATAAAAACACTAAACAAATTTGATGGTATTTTAAGTTTGTGCGCTAATCAGAGTAGCAGAAAATCACACAAGCCTCAGCCAATCAGTCACTGAAGAGGGTTTACAGTGCAGTTCATCTGAATTCCCATCAGCTCTCCCAAAGTGGTTGAATTATAACATCCACTGACATGACCTCTCTGGTTGAAGTTTCAGTCCTGGACGGAAGTGCTCACTTTAATGGAGACTCTGGTCATGCTGCCCGAGGCTGGAGTGTGACTAATGGCTGGTTGGAGAGCAAAAGATGGACAAAGTCCTTTTCTTCCTTCCTCCCTTTCTTAGCTGTGGCTTTAATTCTCCAAATCAATACAAATCTCTTTAGAATGGCCTGTGTAGTGCAATTTCATCTTTTGTGTCTCACTAATACTTTTGTTATCACGGATCGCATTCAAATGATGCTTTTATAGCTTTGTATGAGTAAAAATATGAGCGTCCACATGTATTTTACTCATTTTAAAGTAAAATGAGTAAAATACATTTTACTCATGTATTTTACATGAGTAAAATGTATCACAGTGTTTTGTGGTGATTTAAAGATTATATTATGTAGAGAGTTTATTTCTAAACTTGTTGCAATAAGGAGTTAATCAATTAATAACATGATAAACTAAAATGAGCTCAGTAATTTCCATTTTGATGGTTAATATTATGTTTACAGACATTAATCCATTTTATTTATGGACACTTTACTTATATTTATCATTTCTCCCAGTTCCAGTTCAAAACGTTATTTACAAAACTGAAATTTATTGATCTTTGAGAAGTCAAACTTACTATGCCGTTTACATTACAAGAAAATGGTCTCAAAATAGCAATATCATTGTTTATTGTAATAAATACTGGGATAATTTATTGTCCAAAAAAAGTTGTTATCCTGACAGGCCAGCCCTTGAAACCTAGGTTTGGAAACCCCTGATTCACGGTAAAAACAACAGAAATTATACCATGGCTACAAAAAACATTGACATTATAGTTTATGTTGTCTGAAATATGCTAGTTTTGGTCCAGTAGTGGGACTTCTGTTAAAAATAAAATGGTTCATTTTTTATTTTAATTTCACCGGAGATGATTCTAAAAATGAAAGAAAAACAATGAAGAGAAAACAAAGAAAAATTAAACAAAGACAGTAAACAAAGGAAAAAAAGATGCAAAATAACAACAAAAAGAAAAAAAGAAGATAAAGATAAAAGGAATAAAGGAAGAGAAGATGAACAAAGAAAGAAAGAGAAAGGAAATTATAAACAAAGCAAATAGAAAGAACAGAAAAATATGGAAAGAAACTAAAAAACTAAGAAAAGAAAGAAAGAACAGAAAAAAGAAAAATAATTTAAAAAAATCTAAAATCATTGTAATAAAAATGTAAAAATTTAATATAAGAATATAAAGCAGTTAAAAAATTACTAAAAAGTATTAAGAAATGTCTTAAAAGTCAGAAATGCACATACAGATTACACCACTGTAGAAAATGTAAATTTTAAAGAAAAACCACATTGTGACACTTGACTGCTGGATAAAATCACTGCTTCAAAGAGAAACAATAACCAGAAACCAAAGATGCAGCTAAAACTGTAAAACTGCCTGACTTCAGCAATAATGAGGTAGCGAAAGAAAGAGAGAGAAGGAAAGAAAGAAAAAGAAGGAGGACTCTATCAGCTGACAGGCTTTTATCCAGTCCTAACTTGTGATGTTTAATGGAGGCGTTCAGTGGTTCCTGATGGCATTAGACTGAAAGGCGCTGTAAGTGAATAAGTGTGTAATGTTATATTCTCGATATGGTTAGATGTGTGTATTAGGATGTGGAGACTCATCCATGGCGCTATTAGCTGTCTTTTACACAAAACGACTTCTCCTCTCAGTGTGGTCTACCTCTCTCTCTTAATGGATATTCTGTGGTTTCTGTTTCCCTCTGCTACATTACTGCGGCTGTTTAATGGAAACCATCCTAAGAAGTCCTGGAAAAATCTCAGCAAAAGAGAAAAAATAAGTTTTAATTTTTACAAATCAAATAAACGTTAGCTAAAAGAAAAAAAAAAGAAAACAGGAAAAAAACTGCAGCATTCTGCAGGATTTAAATCTAAAATTAGCAGGATTTTATGATACATACAATATAAACAGCTTGTAAAACTATAGACTTCCTCATATATTTGCTGCAATGCTTATTCTTCATGAGTTTGTGTGTTTTGGTCTTGGATTATTTTATTTTATTTTTTATTATTTTGACGTCAATGTCAAGATTCTTTTGTTGCCATCTGTTCTTTATGTACTGTTTTATGCTATTTTTCGACTTTATTATTATTATTATTATTATTATTATTATTAGTTTTTTGGTTTTTTTGCTTTGTCGTTCATATTACTAATTAAATGCAATGCTGATGTCATGTAACAGCGCGCCGTTTATGGTAGTAATAATGGATGGAGACATTTATGAATCGATTTCAAAGTTTATCAAGTAATTGGAGAATCATCACAAGATTACAAGATGAAGAAAGCTAAAAAAAGAGGAAGAAAGGAAGAGAGACAGAAGGAAAGAAGGAAAGGAAGGAAGGAAGAAAGAAAGTATAAAAGGACAACTTTTATGAACTTCTGTAGAAAAGTCAGTCTGGATGCTAAAAGTGGTGGGAATGATGAAAAAGTATTAATTCCACTGGCAGATTATTTAATTTACAATATGGGAAAATGTCATGTTATAAGTGAAATGGAACTAGAAGTTTTGAATGAATATTAAGAAGTTATTGACTTAAAACAAGCTCCTACTTCCAGCTGAAAGTTACATGTAAGATAGTCTTTTCTTATTTCTAATGTATTAAGATATTTGAAGTAGAAACTAGACCAAAGTTACCTGGTAAGATTTTGTGTTTTTGCAGTTAAAAATTATTGGATTATAAGAAGAAGATGATAAATAACAGTTGTTACAACTAATTTAACATTAATAATTTTTAATCTCTTTCTATTATGTTTCTTAGATCATAAATATATTTCTAATGGAATAAATATTAAAGTTAATACATTTTGAAAAACGGATTTGTGGATTGCAAATTAAATTTAAAAAATGACCTGTGCATGTTTTTTTTTTCATAATTAACACACAGAACTTTCCAAATTAATCATCTTTTTGTCTTAATTATTGTTACAGTCTATTCTGTCAACTTAATTTTTTGGCTCAAACCAAAACTGCTCAAAACTGAAAGACCAAAGAATGAAAAAGAAAACAAAAAATTAAAGGAAGTGACTCAAATAAAGTTGAATCTAAAATTTGAGCCTCATGAGAGGAGGGGATGTTGATTAAAATTTTGCTGGATGATTTTGACTGAAGGCTGCAGATAGATTTGAATGTGTGCGACCACAGCGCACTCAGCAGAGAGAGGAGGCGTCTTATTATTGGCCTTATAGGAGAACTGTCAAGTTAACTGCCAGAAGGAGGAAAGCCTGGCTGGATCACGGCTCACATAAAAGACAAACACCGAATCAGAAGGATCCTCATTTATTCTCTTTGTCATCGAGATGTTTGACGTCTGCAGAAACAGGAAGAGAACAGAGACAGAAGTCAATGAGATAGAGGAGATTTAGACCAATTAACAGCTTAATTACGAGTCTTTTTTTTCTTACAAGAGCTTCGTTTTATTTTATTTTTGACTTTTTTGTGTTCACTTTAATCTTAGAATTACCTTTGAGACTGTCCGATACAAATCTGTACACTGTAAAAAATCACTTAGGTTATTTTTGACAGGTTTTTGTTGTATTTTTGTGTTTTCCATCCACACACTGCCAAGATGTGGTCGTGTATGAAGAACTTCTTCACTTATGAAACGACAAAGTCGGTGGTTGTGAAAAGCTGGACTATCGGCATCATCAACCGGATTGTTCAACTTATCATCATTTCTTACTTTATTGGGTAAGTGTAAATCATTTCATTCATCACTGCAAAGCCTGAATAATTAAAGGATTTGTTGCAAAAACAGTTAATTTTAAATAATTGTAAAAATTAACTCACTGAAATGTTAATGTTTCACTATAAAGCCATTTAAATGTCTGCAGATTTTAGCTTATCTGGTTTAAAGTGACTCTTCAACATAATTACTCATAGACAGATACTTCAATATCTTTTTATTAAATGATGGGTAGCTACACTTAAGATTTTAAAGCTTATAGCAGGGTCAGTTCCTCGCTCTAAAATTTCTGTCAATACAAATGCATTAGCAGTGTTTTAAGTGCTTTGCCTAACCGCTCACTTTAACACGGCTTCAGAGAAACTGACATTAAAATAAATAGAATATGCTTTTCAGAACGCTGTCTTCATTGTGTTTCAACGTTGTTAAAAGTTTTAAAAAGAAAGCAAATTTCAGGTGTTCACACTGCAAATACATCAAATCTTACCAAGTATTTTTGGTTTAGTTATAGTGCAAATATCTTAAAACACTTGAAATAAGACAAAAATAACTTAAGAGTAACTTTTAAGACAGATACATTTTCAAGTTAATAATTTCTTAATATTGATTAAAAAAATATTTGTTCCATTGACAGATTATTTCACTAACAAGACATTTTTCCCATGTTTTAAGAGAAATAAGACCTGTTCAGGTTTACAGACATTTCCTGAACTGAATTAATTGGTCATTTAGGAATGAACTGACTCAGTTCTGCATCAATGCGGAGATACTCCAGTTCTCACTAATGATTAATAGACTAAGTGCTAAATGGAGACAATTTCTGTTGTGCTTTTCTAGTCAAACTGCCTTGTCTAATGGGAAGTCATCATGTATAATCAAATCCACAACGTTCAGATTGCAAGGAAACTACTATATTCACTGAGCTACAGTCACTCTGTGGCTTTATGATCCATATGCCAGCAGCTAAAATCTGTGAATACTTGAGAACTTCTCTATAAACACATATAGCTGCCTATTTTAATAGTTTAAACACCAAGTATATCTGAATATGTATTAATTCTCTATAGTGGAAACCATCTTGGCACGACAGCTAGTTTCTACAGTGTTCCACTTTTGGGGTTACAGCCAATCAGTGCTAAGGAAAACAAACGGGGCAACTGGATTGGCTGCTATTAAAGCTAACACTGTGTCAAACAGCATTGACTCTAACTATTTCAGCTTTCTCTGTAGCATTTTGTTTTACATATTTAGGTGTGTGGGATAATTTAACATTGAAGCTGACAGAAAACACATCTGGGATGCTCCAGGGTTCAATCCTGGGGTCCTTCTTATTTAATATGCTCCCACTATCTCAGATACAGCTTCATCTGAAATCTATGTTTTCTTTCGCACATTAACATTAAGCACCAGTGTCAGAATAGTTGATTCATATTTATTTAATTATTTATGCTAGTTTTATGTATTTGACTTTGTTTGACTGGATGTTTTGTTTTTGTTGTTGTGGAGTTTTATCCTCTCTTCGAAAACTATTTTTTCCCATGTGAGACAAATAAATTGTCCTATAATAAGTAATAAGATTGATTACCGTAGTGATGCAGATGATACACAGCTCTACATTGCTGTAGCTGCGTTTCCATTACATTTGTGCTCAAAACTGTTTTGATATACCACTAATGTTGAAAAAAAAAAAATCACAAAGCACAAAGACCTTTTTACTGAAACACATGCAGACCTGGACATTTAGAAACATATAAAGACAATTACAAAGACAGTCTTTTATCACCTAATGAATATTTCTGGGATTAAAGAAAAAATGTCCCAGCAAGATTTAAAGAAACTCATCCATTGATTAGTAAACGTTGACCTTATAGACTGAATTTAATCTGTTTAAGTCATCATAGGTCCACTAGTTAACTACACAACTATTATCAGTCTGCCGTGGCTGATTAGTCTTACAGGAAGAGCCTCATTCACCCATTAGCTGGATCTGATTCCAAGCAAGTAATTTAATCCTTACCCACAGAATGTGTTTTTCAACTCCTCTTTTTTCTATTATTGTCCTAAATAAAAATAATCTCATTGTCACATTCTTGGTGCCAACAAAATAAGATGATTTTTGAATAAAATGTAAATAAATAAATGAGTAAAATAACAGATTTCTTTTTTTTTTTCTTGTGCACCAGTGCAGAGTAATAAAGTGATCACTCTAAAGCAATGATGCTTAGCAATAATCTTCCAGTCTATGAAATAGGGATACAAAAATTTGGACCAAAAGCCGATATTTACCAATGTTATAATGACTATATATGTTTTCTTTAACTTTTAACAATGTCAAAAGAGCCACGCCGCCTTTATGCTTCAGTTAAACACGACATAAACACGTGCTGCATCGTAAGAAATAAAAAACACATTTTCAGTGTGCTTGAACTAAAAGCAGGTAGGAGGGGGGTGTTAAATGTTGTTTACCCAGGGCACTGAAAAGGCTAGGAGAGTCCCTGCATCTAACAGTATGATTTCAAGAGTAAACTACCCAAAAATTGTACTCAAGTAAAAGTAAAAAGTAGCAATCTAAGAAATTACTCCAGTTAGAGTAAAGAGTATTTGGTAAAAAGTCTACTGAGTAGCTGATCAAATTATCAATCATTTAATATTTAAAAATGACATCATCAGACCAACCTAAATATAAAGCTAAGTGGAAATGTTGGTATTTTAACGCCAAAACTATTAATAATTAATGTAAGTAACAAAAATAAATAAATAAATAAATCAGGTTAAAACATGTTTGTTTGTCATTCAGTGGGTAGAAAATCCAGAAATTTTACACAAGTAAGAATAGAAATCCTTCATAATAACATTACTCAAGTAAAAGTAAAAAGTACAGCAAAAATACTCCTAAAGTACGTTTCTTCAAAAAGTTTCTCAAGTAAATATAATTGAGGAAATGTAACTATAGTTTTTACCCAGCTCTGGAGATTTTAAGGGCGGTCAGTTTCCAACCTGCTAATGGGCTCCAAAAGCCACTTCGCCTGATATTTATTTCAATTAAATCTGATGTCAAAATGTTTATTTGTCACATTTTCCCTGCTTGTGTTTTCAGTTGGGTGTTTATCTGGGAAAAGGCCTACCAGGTGAGAGACACAGCTATAGAGTCGTCAGTCATGACAAAGGTCAAAGGCTTTGGAAACTACAACAACAGAGTCATGGACGTTGCAGACTACGTCACTCCTACGCAGGTATTTATCGGTACATTTCAGTAATTAATAGCAAGATTCATTAAAAGGTTGAGCTGCAAAATCCATGTGGTTTTTCTACAGGGAGGTTCTGTCTTTTGCATCATCACCAAAATGATTACAACAGAGAACCAAGTGCAAGGATACTGTCCTGAGGTCAGCTGATATTAAATTCACCTCTTAATTAACTTTTATGTTAATGACAGGATCCAGTGTCCAAACATGGGAATTCATTATCTGACCAAAATACAAGCTATACATAAGATTTATTAAAACAAGACAACACAATTAGACATTTGGAAAGAGGGAAACAGCTTATAAACATCTGGCAAATCATCAGTTGAAGAAAATACTTAAAGTTGAAGTTTGTAACATTTTTTAAAAATATGTTTTTTACATATTTGTTGAAATTATCACCATGTCGAGACAGACCTGTGAAAAGATCTATCTCCTTCACTTCCTCTCTGAGTTACTATCCCAAGAAATGCGCCACTCGGGACCAAAAATAACCAATCAGAGCCAGGAGGCGGGCCATATTGCTGTCAATCAACCTCATGAATGTGTTGCTCAATGTCCTAATGGCATTGAGCGGATAAACAACTTACAGTTTATCCGCCGTCATTGGTGGCCATGCTAACTAGACTGAGCATTAGAGAAAGTTTCTGCTAGATGCAGGTGATTGACAGCACTAAGACCCGCCTCCTGTCTCTGATTGGCTGTTTCTAGTTAGCACTAGAAACAGTGCTACTCTCCCTATTGTCATGGGGAGAGTATGAAATTGTGAAGAAGAAAGAAAATTATACATGATTCAAAAATATTTTTGCAAGTAAAAACCGGAAAAGTGTGTTGTGCAAAAGTATTCAGCCTGCCTTTTCTCTGAGTGCAACTAATTGCCTTCAGAAGTTGCCAGTTGGTTATTAAATAGAGTCAATCTGTGTGTTGTACTGGGTTAGCTGTTCTTTCTGAACATAATCATTTAATCTGATCTATTAATAGTGTAAAATACTTATCCTACATTATTTAATCATTCAATTAATCAATCAGTCAATCAACTTTATTTGTACAACACATTTAAGCAACAAAACGTTATATCATAAAAACACACAAATAATTGCGTTTTTAAATCTTTCCATGTTATTCAGACTGAGAAATACAACTGTACCAAAGACAGTGACTGCACAAAATATCGTCACAGACCAGGAGGATATGGTAACATGTTAAATTATTATTTTTTTATGATATGAAATTTAAAATACAATTACGATAGTATTTGTTTTGGAGTTCCTTTAACATTTCTTTGTACTCCTGCTTAGGAATCTTCACAGGAAACTGCGTCCCTTTCAAGACCAACATCTCAATGTGTGAGATTAAAGGATGGTGTCCTGCAGAGATCGACACCATAAAGACGTGAGACGACACTTTGCATGTCATATATTTACATATACACAGTGATTTATTGATGTGTGTATTCAATTTGAGGAACCACTCTGGTACATTATTATTGCTGGTGAAAAACATCCAGGTATCATCAACTATGCAGATGATGTGCAGCTCTACATTGCAATGTGAGTTACTCACAACCAAAAGAAGTTATTTTAGAGGAACGATTTAGAGTCAACACAAAACTTCAGCTGTTACAGCTGGACATTAGAGGTCAGGCCTGAAATCTGGGTGTAGTGATGAACTCTGACCTGAACCTTCAAAGACACATAAAGACAGTTACAAAGTCTGTCTTCCTGAAAAACATTTCTGCCTTTTAAACACTAAAGTCCCAACAAAATCTAAAAAAACTCATCGATGCATTTATCTTTAGTTGCATTGATTACTGTAACCCTAAATGTGTTTGAATTAACCATGAATTTATGCAAATTGAAATTATGAAAATAAATTTTCTGTATGGAAACATGGCAAATTTGAAAAAGCTCACATTTTTAATAAAAAGTTTCTGGGCCAGGATGTGGTGGTTTTTCAGCTGTATAGAAACAGATGCATTTCACAAAACTGCAACGGAAACACTGTATTTGCATCACACCAGTCAAATGATCACTGGATGTTACTACTGGAGAAAACAACAAAAACGAAGACGACAGGAAGTGGTTTTTGTTTTTTTCTGGCTCCATCAGAGCTCTCAGCATTGCAGTTCATAAAAAATTTCGCGTCATTCCAACATTTTGAATACATAGCTCTTCTGTAAAACTGGTCTCATTGGCTAACAAGTGATGAGCTCTAGTGCTAAATTATGAATATATCTCATCGTAACAGTTGACCTCTGTAGCTGCCATGATTTTTAATTACTTATTCACATGCGGTTTTAACTCAATTGCTTATTTAATGGAAAAAAAATAATTGCAAAATTGTGTTTTTTTTGACATCAGCAGAATACTTGCACCCATTTTTAATGGAAACGCAGCTACTGTCAAGGCTTCCCTGGCACAACGAATTTGATCAAACATTATTTGTTTGCTCAAGCAGAATCAAAGTTTTAGATTCTGCCTTGGCTGAAAAAATTATGCTCAGTTTTAACAACTTCAGATGCATTTCAGATTTTAAGCTGATCAAAATAAATATAAACTTTTTCAAAACAAGCCTGTTCAATTTAACCCCTGGAACTGATGGAAAACCTTTGTAAATAACCAAATAGTGAAGTTACAATGTATAAAGAGTTCTATCATAAGTGCAGAATTAGAAGAAATGTTTTCTTTTATATATTTCAATATCATTTATACACTTCATTTATTTGCAAGCTTTACATCAGACATTTTGATGTTGTGACAATCTGTTTGTTAATATTTTTTTTTCTGAAACTCCACTTCTGAGGCTTTAGAAAAGTTATAATGTGTTTGTTTTCTTTTCTCAGAGAACCCATGAATGATGTGGAGAACTTCACAATCTTCATAAAGAACAGCATCCGTTTCCCAACTTTTAACTACACCAAGTAACACCTTTTATACTACTTTCTGTCTGATTCTGATATTAACTCACATTCTAGGTGATCAAATTATAACTGGAGAAGGTAGACCACTAGTACTTATGAATTAATGTTAGTTATGACTGAATATAACTGATCAGTGTTAGTCCCAGGCTAGTTCAAGTTGTCTCTTTCGGATTTATTTCACCCAGAATATAAATAACATCAGTCAAATGTAGTGGTGATGATTTATCATAAATTCTGTTTTTCTGCAGAGGGAACTTCCTTCCATCAATAACTAATGAATACATCAAAACGTGTAACTTTAACAAAGAAAAGGACATCTACTGCCCTATCTTCAAAGTGGGGGACATTCTTAAAAATGCAGAGCAAAACTTCACTCAGCTGGCAGACACGGTAAAAACAGCAATTGCATTTTTTTAATAGGGGTTAAATTAAATTTGTGATGTTTACTGCACATCTTGTGACATTAA